AAAAATGTATGGAATGTGTGTATTTATATCTCTTGACATCTCTGGCTTAGTGTAATTCTTTTCCTGGGGAAATTATAACTATGCCTGTTCCCTGTATGTGATGTAGCTAGAAAAACCGATTTCATTTTGTAGTTTTACTATTGAACTGGTTTTCTCATTACAAAAGTAGTATGTGCTCATTGTTGGGCTGGGTGTGGTGGCTCACAACTGTAATCCCAGCACTTTGGGAGGTCAAGGCGGGCGAATCACTTGAGGTCAGGAGTTCGAGACTAGCCTAGCCAACATAGTGAAACCCTGTCTCTACTAAAAATACAAAAATATTAGCCCAGCATGATGGTGAGTGCCTGTAATCCCAGCTACTCCAGAGACTGAGGCAAGAGAATCGCTTGAACCCTGGAAGCGGAGGTTGCAGTGAGCCAAGATCATGCCACTGCACTCCAGCCTGGGCAGTGGAGCAAGACAAGCCTGGGCAGTAGAGCAAGACACTGTCGCCAAAAAAAAAAAAAGTAATATTGTAGAAATGTTACAATAATTGTAGAAAAATTGAACAATACAGAGATAAAGCAGAAGAAAAAAATTCCCCCATTGCACTACTCCAAGACTCTAAGACAGCCCAGGTTGACATATTCTTCACTCTCTCCCACTTTTGCTTTGCCTTATTTTTATTTATTTGCCTCACAAGCTTTAAAGTAGGATAGCTATACAATTTATGCTATAGGTCAAGCGTGGTGGCTCATGCCTATAATCTTAGCACTTTGAGAGGTTAAGGAGGTAGGATCACTTGTGGCCAGGAGTTTGAGACCAGCCTTGGCAACATAACAAGACCTGTCTCTACAAAAAAGTTAGCTGAGTGTGGTGGTGTGCTCCTGTAGTCCTGGCTACTTGGGAGGCTGAAGCAGGAGGCTCACTTGAACCCAGGAGTTCGAGGCTACAGTGAGCCATGATTGTGCCACTGCACTCCACCCTGGGAGACAGAGTGAAACCCTGTCTCTAAAAATGGGAAAAAAAAAATTATACTTTTTTTTTAACCCAATGATTTGTTGGAAGCATTTTCCCATGTTACTGAAAACCCTTTATAATATGAAATTTAACTGCCGAAGAAGGTTCCGTCATTCTGAATTACTTTTTTGTGAACATTTGGATTTATTTCTAATTTTTTGTGACTTTAACTACACAACTGTGCATAGAATTTTTTATGTTTCAGACTGCTTTTGTTGCATATGTTAATAGTTTCAACAACAATGTGTAAAAGAACTTATTTCACTAAAATTTGACCAGCACTGTTTATATCATTTTTTCATATTTATTTATCTGATAGGCAAAAGTACTTTGTTTTTATTTGTTAAAAATTACAAGTATTGAAAATCTTTCTTATTAACCAGTTGTTATTTTATGACTCATGCTTGTGCCTTAGTTTTCTTTTTTTTTTTTTTGTGACGGAGTCTCACTCTGTCGCCCAGGCTGGGGTGCAGTGGTGCGATTTTGGTTCACTGCAACCTCCACTTCCCAGATTCAAGTGATTCTCGTGCCTCAGCTTCCTGAGTAGTTGAGATTACAGGCATGCACCACCATGCCTGGCTAATTTTTGTATTTTTAGTAGAGACGGGGTTTCGCCATCTTGGCCAGGCTGGTCTCGAACTCCTGACCTCAAGTGATCCACCTGCCTCGCTCTACTAAAGTGCTGGGATTACAGGCGTGAGCCACTGCGCCCAGCCTTGCTTTAGCTTTCTTTGAGACTGAATCTTACTCTGTTGCCCAGGCTGGAGTGCAGTGGCACGATCTCAGTTCACTGCAACCTCACCTCCCCGGTTCAAGCAATCATCCCGCCACAGCCTCCCAAGTAGCTGTGGGAGTACAGGCGCATGCCACCACCCCCAACTAATTTTTGTATTTCTTTTTTTTTTTTTT